TATCTGTAGCATGGTCAGTAGCAGTAGCACTAGCAGTAGCTACTGACAGGAGGAAGTGTGTGTGGCGATTGCTGGTATTCAGCGGGATATAGTAATTTCCTCAGCATGTAAATATATGGATAAATGCAACGGGGAAGTTAACTGAAAGAAACCGAATCTGTGGATATTGCCAGATTAAACCAGTCCCTCAACACTGACACTTTTGTAGTTGAAGTAGTTAGTTTTCCCACCTATTTATAACCCTTAAAATGCAGATTTCCATAAAAAATCCTTAAAAAAAACAACCTGCTATGAATAGAATGATAATATATTTAACTACATGTTTATGAAACGTGTAATATTCCATAGCTATTAGGTCAACATGTTATGCTATCATCTCACAAACAACAAAGATGTCAGTGACAACCGATGCATCATCTTAATTCAACTCAAAATATTTCAATAGGTAACTTTTCCTAACTTTTAACAACTGGCCCTTTCCCTGTGTAAGCCGGTATTAAATCAATGTCTGACGTGAGAACAGCTGACTCTCAGTGTGGACCTTGGTCTCATTGTGAAGCCGGTGATACAGATCTACTGAATGTGTTGATGACCCTGTAAAGACGTCTTCATGTAGAAAACCTCTGTTTGGATCAGTTACAGCTGGAGGAAACATCATGTGGGTGAAACACTGCCCTGCTGTTAGCCTCAGTTTACATCTTACATCATCTCTTTAAACGCCATGCATCGTTACCTAAGTGCAGTCTCTTTAAACAGAACATGTTTTAACTATGATTTATGTAAACTATGGTCTATGTTGATGACCTGCGGGTGTAGTTCCTCTCCCACACTCACTGACTGTGTTTCTTGTTTTCCTTCTTAAGAATAACTTAAAGGTTCCATATTATACTTTTGGGGTTTTCCCTTTCCTGTAGTGCGTTGCTAAGGTTTGTGTGCATGTAAATGGTCTGCAAAGTCTCAAATCCCAAAGTTGCCTCCAGAGGGAGTTTGTCTCTCTCTCTTTGTCGTAAAATGGAGGACAGTCTGTCCACCAGGGAAGCACGAAACACCAGACTTGCATAGGTGTTTTTCTTCTTATATGTTATTATCTTTACATTGCCTTTGCTTTTCTTCCAGCCAAAGATTTGATACAGAAGCTTCTGAAGACAGACCCCAACGAGCGAATGACCATCACTCAGTTCATGAACCACCCCTGGATTAATGTAAGCATATGTTTCGCAAGTACTTCGCATTGTATACTTCCTGTACTGCTTCCTGTTTGTCTGTGCTCCTGTTGCTCATATCCTTGTGTGTGTGTGTGTGTGTGTGTGTGTGTGTGTGTGTGTGTGTGTGTGTGTGTGTGTGTGTGTGTGTGTGTGTGTGTGTGTGTGTGTGTGTGTGTGTGTGTGTGTGTGTGTGTGTGTTTGCAGAAGTCCATGGTGGTGCCCTCCACCCCCCTCCACACCACCCGGGTGCTGACTGAAGACAGAGAGCTGTGGGAGGATGTGAAGGTCAGAACAACACTGCCCCCCTCTGGTCACATGTTCACATTACAACCTGTTACTGCAGGGCTGTCAAAGCTTTATCTGCTTTTTCTGCCACATATATATTACACATATGTCAAATGTAAGTGTTTGTAATACAAATGTTCAAAATTAAGAGCGCAGAGGCCGAGATATCCTGACTTTAGACTCCAGTGAGGGACACACCTCTGAAAGTTCTGGATACTACGTTTCCCATAATGCAACTCAAAAGCATCTTTTCATGTAATCTTGGTAAATACCATATACAGTGTATAGTAAATACCCATCCATATGCATCTCGCTCAGTTTGTATTGCTTTCTGTTAAAATGTTGAGTCTCCAAGTGTAAACACCTGATGACATCACTATGACATCATTAGGGTCAATTTTCTCAGCCTTTACAAAACTCCCACCTCCCTGAAGTCAACATTTCTAAGGTCCTCCTTGTTTATATATTTTAAGATTATCGTTTATTTTTCAGTTATTATTAGAATATTAGAATTTTCAACTTATTTAGAATTTAGTTATCACACAATTTCATGTGTAAAGCCAGCAGAGTGCCCCTTTAATGATAACTAGCTGCTACACAGCAAGGGGGAATTATTTAAACTTTTTTACACCCTTCAACTTAAAGGGGCCCTATCATGCAAAATGCACTTTTTGATGTCTTTTATACATCAATATGTGTCCCCGGTGTGTCAGGGAACTCACGCAGTGTCAGAAAATAAAACCCCCTCTCTTTTCTTCCGTACCCAAATCTCTAAAAACGGGGCTACAACGGAGCTGATCCAGATTTGCGTCCGATATGACGTAATATCGGAAATGTAGGCTGGCTTTACACCCACGGCCCAATCAGAAACGTTGCTATCAGAAACAATGCCCGACTGTTTTGGACGTAATATGGTCGGTGCATATTTACATTAGCATTGCTAACACTCAGAGCTAACCTGTACTGGAGAGCATGTGTGTGAAGAAGCAGGAAATAAAAAGGAACTCACCTTGTGGTATAACCGGCAAGAGAGAAAGCCTTTGAGCTCCATACTGTTTCAGAAATAATCCTTGATAATCCATGATATGGCGTTTCATCACGGCAGTATCTGCCGGTAGAATCTCCCGCATGAGCTCAGCCCCCTCCTTTTTTATTTTTTTAAAGCTTTATACCCCAAATCAGCACTTTTGAAACAGGAAGTGAAATAGAGGGAGATGAGGCATGGCTAGAATGGGGGATCTGTTTGGTATTTTGAGCAAAACACTTCATAGACCTGTTTTTTATATATTTTTATATATCTGAGACCTATGCTATTGCCTAAAAATAGCATGATAGGTGACCTTTAAACTAATAGAAATGTTTCAAACTTTAAAAGTTTTTTATTGTATCAACATCTTGATAATCCCTCGATGGCCACCAGGGAGAAGCAGAACTCACAGTATAGTCTGTACTAATAACACACACAAGTTTACATTTGACACACACACTTAAACACAAAGGATCTCAGCTGCCCTTTGGCATTTTTCTCCGAACTTTCTATGACTTGCACAAAGAAATGTGTTAAAGGAACAAAAGCACTGCCTGCTCTCTTTAAGTCACTCTGACTGAGCAAGTTTGAGGAGATAAGGTATGAAAGGACATTTATCCAAATCATACGCACACAATACGCCTTTGTTCACTTCTACAACAGGCAATGCTACGTTGCGTAAAAAATTATTGCACTCTAAACTACCACTTCCCCAAAAGCAGAAACCGTTACACAGCGAGTAGAGATCAAGAGGCTGCAAATCCTGAGCAATAAAGGATGAATACTTTGAGGGTTTACATTTGTTGTTACTCAGCCCCAGTTTGCAGACCAGTCATCTCACATTTTAGTCATTTTTTAACGGTCTGAGGACTGTGTTTGCTCCATTATCTCCTGGCCAGTGCTGACTTGACCTTTCACCGACTCATAAACATGTTCTCGGACAGGTTACTCTTTACAATGTCCACCTTTTTTTGTTTTTATCACTGCTTACAATAGAACAGCCTTTTAAGAAGTGCTTCGACATTTTGGGAAGACTGTGAAATATGATATAAGATACGATGTAACAAGGTAATTAGTGATATTTAAAAAATAATAGCAGGCAGGTTTTATTACTTTTGAGACGCTAGCTGTTGACTCCATTCTTAATGCTAAGCTAACTGGCTGCTAGCACCAGGTACATATTTACAAACTAAAACTGAGAGAGGTAGTAAAGTCTCAGAAAAGCAAATATTTCAAGAAATGTTGCACGGCTGCTATTTGCACTTTATTAGTTGAAACATATTGTGTTATTGTGTTGCACTGTTGGAGGAGCTTGTTGATCTAAGATTTTCATTGTCATAAATACACAGTAGCTATGCACACAAAAGCCTTGAAACTTGAAACTAAACACAATGTCAATCACAAAAAAATGGTTAAGAATAGGACTCAGACGGGTACCTACAATATAACATTATGTTGTGTATAGTTTCCCCTTAATTGAGAATTTAATTTAAAAGATATTTGAATCTCAATGAGACTTTTTACCTGGTTAAATAAAGGATATATATATAATTAATTCTTTTTATTAATATAACACATTTATTGCGAAATCAAAGTACTTTGTTAAAAAATAAAAGCGGTGCCGAAGTATAATACCAAATGTTGTTAAAAGCATCGGTTAATAGAAAGGTTTTTAGGCTCAATATAAAAGAAACTCAGGGTTGGGGCACACCTCAGATGTTCTGGAAGTGTATTAGAGATCTCCGGAGCAGAGAGCTAAGAGCTGCTTCTACGTGTTTGGATCTGATCCAGGGAACGATGAGTACATCTGTCTCGATGATCTCAGAGCTCTGGGTGGGAAGAAGCGTGTCAGACATGTATTGTTGTCAGTATCAGAATAACTTGTCCCACAGCAGGGACATGTACTGCGCTACAGCAGCAGATAAAATACTTTAAAAAAAGTTATATACAATGATTAAGAGTATAAACAAATAAGTACACCATGGTCAAAATTAAAGTAGCATTATTTGAGAAAGTAAGTGAACATATAAAAAAAGTGTTGAAAGTGTTTTTAAATAAGCGTAAATTGCACATATGTGTATATATTGCACATTAGGTATTGCATATCCATGATATTACAGTCCATGTTGGTGTGGGGGTCTACCGGGGGCCATAGTGGTTGTACAGTGTGCCTGCTGCAGGAAGGAAGGGCCATTGAAATATGTAACTGTTGTAACTGAACTGTTGTAGTTGTCACTGAACTCTCACCCCTCTGCTCTGCCCCTCACAGGAAGAGATGACCAGCGCTTTAGCCACCATGCGTGTGGACTACGACCAGGTGAAGATCAAAGACCTGGACACCTCCAGCAACCCGCTGCTTAACAAGAGACGCAAGAAGGCCGCCGCTGGAGCCAAAGGCGGGTCCACGGTGTGCCAGAGTCAGTGAGTCTCTGAGGACTGTCCGGGCGGGACAGGAAGTGAAGACGAGAAGCAGCTCAGAGGAAGAAGAGAGGTGGATTTTTGCAGGAGAAAATCATTTGAAGTCAGGGACTCTTGAGAGACTGGATGATGAGAAAAGGTTCTCTAAAATAAGGGGAAACATAGGAACAAGTCAGAGCTGGACATTAATAAGACATATCAGGTTGTGATAAGACGTGTTTCTACTGTCAGTGGAAGAAATCAACAGCTCTGCTCACTTTCTGTTTCATTTTTATGTACGTGGTTTTTAGACTGTTTGTAAGTCTGTGTGCAGACATGGAGTATTTGTAGTGACCGTGTTTTGTGTCTTTGAATGCTTTGTTGCCTATTTGAGATCTCCTTTGTAATCATGCACTAGTGTACAAACCAAAGACAGACAGACAAAGCGAGTGTGGACAGACTGAAACCAGAACTCACTTTACGTGCACTGTGGCCAGTTTCTCTTCTGCTGACGAAAAAAAGCAACGTCTCCATTCATTTCAACTTAAGAGAGTATTTTTGGATGCAAGCTGTTCATTTTACTCATCACATTACATGACATTTATTATGACGCTTTTATCCAAAGCAACTTACAAAAAGTGCAATTAATCATAAGGATACAAATTCAGAACAGCAAGAATCCTGCGAGTACATTAACTTCAAATAGGCTAAACTATTTTAAATTCTACAAACACTTTATTAAGATTGTATTTGTCAAGGTGCAGTTGACCTATGTCAGTTTTCAGTAGTCTTTCAACCAATTTGGAGCCAGGGTACTAAAAACGAAACTTGCTTTACCCTGGTCCGACTCAGCGTCACTGCTGTGGATCAACATTGAGTCCCCACTAATGGAGCAATAAGTAAACAACCTGTCTGCTTCCTGTCCGCATGCGGCCACAGAGCCTAATGCAAGCAGCAGTGGGGTAATGGATTGTACCATGTAGGAGTTGTGTAATTTTCTCTTGAAAAAGGTCTTATGTGGGATGAGTAAATGCGTCCATGTATTACAGTTTCACTTCACATTGAACCCCCCCCCCCCCCTGTAGAAATAAGATTTGTCCGCACTGTTGTAAATAAAACTTTATAAAGTAAAGCTTTGTTTGTACGATCTGTTATTTTTCTCAGGACCTTGGAGCTTTGTTTTTGTAATCGTCCTTTCAGGCTTTGTGAGGCCGCTAATAATAGCAGTAGTGAAGTAGTTGTTTGGGACGCGGCCATCTGACTGGAAAAGGTCAACATTATTATGTTTAGATGATATGGCGAGTACCTTTACCCCACTTTGATCACACGCTTACCCCTGCAGTATTTAGGTGATGGGTGAGGGCAAGCTTATCATAAACACAACCAGGCTTTCCTGGCTGTAAATATGGGAGCCATGATGGCATGACGTGCAACTAGAGCCAGTCCTCTCAGCTGTGTTGTGCTCCATGCACTTGAAGTATAAAAGTTATTATAATTATACAGGGTGTATTTTGGGGGTGGAATTTTACAGGGTGTTGCAAATGACGTACTTCCTCATTTGGAGGCAGTGGTACTTTTCCTTTGTAGGCAGGCCTCTTGTCAAGACAAGCACAGTCATGATTACAGCATCTGTAAAACGTGTTTGATGTGGACAAAACAGTGTCAGTGTCTGATTCCTACTTGTGTTTTTCCTCACAACAATCACTGATCCTCCTCCTCCTCCTCCAGGGATTTTCAGACTCCAGAGATACTTATTATTAGGTCAAAGGTCAGAAGTAAAGTTCAGTATTGGGTTAGATTTTTCCACATTATTCAGAAGAGATAAATGGTGATGTTTTAAAGGGGCCCTATTCTGCTCATTTTCAGGTTCATAATTATATTTTGTCTTCTGTGAGATTTTTACACGCTTTAATGTTCAAAAAGCTCTTTATTTTCTCATACTGCCTGTGCTGCAGCACCTATTTTCACCCTCTGTCTGAAACCAGAGCCCAGTCCGCTCTGTTGTGATTTGTCAACCGCGGTTGATCTCTCTGCTCTTTAAGGAGGAATGTGTTTGTCAGTGGAGAGCCATCTGACCTTCAATCATTAAAGCCATTCTCAGGTCACGTTGTCTTAACCTGTCCGAGCTCCATGGTTCATTTTCTTTTTGATTTCTGACCTCAATAACCTCCTATTGTCTTCCTCCTCTCTATCTTTTGTGATTGTTTGTCTTATTCCTGCACAGATATGCAGCTACAGGCCTGGGGTCCAAAATGAGTGCCATCACTTCAACGTGCTGCTGATAATGGTATCATTAGAACCACTGAAATAGCCTCAAGCCAAGACTGTGCTTTCCCTGGCCATCAAATCTTTGTTCCACCAAGAAGGCTGGATAATGACAATAACACATTGTCGATAAATATAGATGTATAACTTTAACTTTATATGGAGGCTGTGGCTCAGTGGCATAGTGCGCTGAACTCTGAATCAGGGGGATAGCAAGTTCGAGTCCCACTGCAGTCAGCATGTCGTTGTGTCCCTGGGCAAGACACTTCACCCCAAATTGCCCACAGTACTGAATGTATGTAAGCCACCAGAGTGTATCGCAGCTTCCGGTTCCGGGGCTGTGCATCACTCATTCACCAATGGCCAATGTTTAGATGGATTTTAGGAACTTCCCCTCGATTCTATTGGCTCTAACGGTTAAAAAGAGATGTCAATCATCAAAATCGAACGAGGGGGGTCCAAATGACCCCAGAAGTGGGTTTTTTCTTTCTAAATCTCTCTAAAAAGGTCAAACTTCACTTGTGTTGCATCAATCTTGACACAGGGCGGGGGCGGACAGAAAATCAGCTCGGTACCGCTAGTCAATTGTCAGGGGGGGGGGGGGGGGGGGGGGGGGGGGGGGGGGGACACTATAATTTACATTTTTTTACTGTGTTCAATCTGAATTTACTTTAAAATAAAAACATTTATATTGATTCTGACACTTCTACATCCAACTCACAGATGTAACCTTGCTTTGAGAAACAAGATTATTAATTTACCCCTTTTAGAAGTTAAGATATGGTCATTTGTTCTGGGAATGTCATTTTCGAGCCTGAGACCTGAAAAACAGGCTCATGGCTTAATAGGTTAAAACAGCATGCTTTTCTGCTTAAGTGCCACTTAATTAAGTACATTTGCATGTGTCACACCCCAATGGATGCCTATTCAACGATGTAAAAACAACTTCTGACGAACTGCACCAGTAATAGTTTAGGCATGAAATAATGAAGAGATCCACAATCTAATTATATCGAATCAATGCGTAGAGATTCGCTTTGAATTTGAAATCAAAGAGTCTCTTACTTCTGCTTATTTAAGTCGTAAAGCCTGTTTAATCCATAGTGATGCTATGTGTAACCCATCTAAACATGGAAACATGTTAAAGGAAGGATGAATAGTAAACAGCAGCAAAACAAGTTCTGCAAGTTGCTGCTGGAAAACTTCTAAACTCTTCCTGTTTGATTCCTGTAGGCTTCGCATTGCAACAGTGCAACAGTGCATATGAGGTAACCTTAACAGTGTGTGCTATTCTATGTATTCAATTAATTAAAGGGTGTCCTAAGTGGTGGAAAGTAACTAAGTACATTTACTCAAGTACTGTACTTAAGTAATATTTTAATGAGTATTTCTATTAAGTGCTATTTTATACTTGTACTTCACTTTACTTCAGAGTCACATTATAGTTATATATAAAAACACATGATATAATGATATGATGTACTGTTCTACTAATAAACCCAGTATTTTTACAAAGTCTCTAAAATTGGCTCTGATTTAACAAACTTTGGATAATCTATTATAATATTCTATAATAATACAATTCTATGAAAAAGCCATTTGCATGCTTGGTAGGCTACTACTTGAAGTACATTTTGATGCTAACACTTTTGTATTTATCTGAAGCAAACATTTGAATTCAGGATTTTAAGACCATAGTATTTGTACTTTTAAGGATCTGTGTACTTCTTCCACCTCTGCTGTACACAGTATGTCCTTTTATGTTACCTGCAATGTAGCCCAATGTAAGCCCTGTCATGACTTGTGACTTTTTTCAGCTGTGTGCGTGTGCGTGCGTGTGTGTGTGCAGGGGCAGGTACAGTCTGCTACCTCACTCAATCCAGTTTTGGAGTAAGCTTCCTCCCAGTCCATGTCCCACACACACACACACACTCACACTCACTAATATAGGGTGTGTGTGTGTGAGCAGCATCAGTGTGTTGCTCAGCAGTTGGACGCATACACACAGGCAGCGCTGCTCCATCAGACAGACGCCCATGATGAGAGGCTCATCAGGCACCAAACTCACACACAAACCGGACAGACCGGGTAAGACACGTCCATGTGAACCTCTTTAATATACCCGTGCATTATGGGAGTTTAGCTCGTGCATGTTTAATCGGATGACAGCCAGAGAAAGGGACATTAAGTCCTTCCGAGACGTAAACAAGAGCCGATGTGCCGTCGGTGTGTAGCGCTGTCACCTTTACCCTAGATAACAACAACAGGCGGCTGTCTTTGCTTTTATTGTAGCAACCAGCCTCATTTGTTTGTGCTTTGACACAGAGGATGGTGAACTGTCAGGCGGGTGTGTTTAGGCTGCTGTCGACATTTAAAAAAACACATACAAATATGCATTAATGCGCGTAACATTAACCGATCTCTCAGGTTTTTATTTGTTTGTATTCTACTGATCATGATGGAGATGCTGCTGCAGAGTTGCATTTTCTAGTTGTTTGTAGTATTTATGGTTGTTGTGGTTGTACAGTTCACACTGCGATTGCTTTCTGTCTTCTGAGCTCTGAATGTTGGTTTCTGAGCTGAATACATCCCTCAGTGTGGTGGATGCTGGTTTACTGCCAAGTGTACTATATTAGGAAATGACTTATATTCAGTATGGAGCAGGCTAAAGGCTGTTAGCTGCAATCAGAGATCCAGGCAGCAGCTGGGAGAAAGAGGAGGAGCTCACACAGCTTCCTGTTCATGTCCTTATGTAAAGAATGCAATACACCACATTTAACCTTTATGTGATTTATTTCAAACAGTGTGCATATCAGTTACTGCCTGCTGCTGTTCTCTAAAACACTATCCAAGCTTTATGCAGATAAGATAAGCTACTTTAAATAACACAGTTGCCTGACTAACTTGAATGCAAAGTATGTTTCACAGTTAGTTCAGTTTGCCTAAAACAACATTGGATTTGTATCAGAAAAGCCACAAATCTATCCCCAACTTGAGTTACTGTGCCATTTCATATGGACTTGATGAACCTGACATATATTACAGTCTACTAGCAGTCAGGGGATTTGAGAGAAAGAGAGTAAGAGCTATTTAATTAGAAACGTCCATCTTGCCATATCTAGGTCACAGGCCCTGTTGCTCTAAAGCTTGATATACTCAGTGCATCAGATAGTCCATAAGGAACATAAACAGATGAACAGATATTATCTTTGCTTCTCATTGTATGAGAAACACTTGCACAGTGTAATTCAATCTAACCCACACACCTCTGCAAAAGTAATCTCTTTGTAAAGCTTATAATAATCATTTTGTTGACATGAGGATTTATCTCCATGGTCATTGTATAAGTCATTGTGCCAATGGAGTTCCTGTTTTAATTTGAAAAGCACTTACCTGAGATGGACAACATATTGGAAACACTTTTATACAAATCCTCTGACATGTTTCTCCCACCAAATCTGAACATTTATAGAAATGTGTTGCAGGGCTGTTGAGTTGTTTGCATTCCAGGTATTTCTATTACACTGGTAGTTTACAAGTCTGTCAACACACCCTTTATATATACAGTCTATGCAACACACCCACAGAGACAGAGGGAGAGTAATGCTGCCCCCTCATGGACACTCTTAGATCGTGCTTGTTGGGATGACCTTAAATGGCCTCAATAGAAATAGGAATAAAATGTTCTCAAAATGTATCCCCTAGTGATTGCTGATTTATTTGTGGAAACGTTCAGTATCATAAGCGGTAATGTAGATATTTGTATATTGTCACAATAAATCTAAGAGCATCACAGAGCCATATTTAGCAAAAAACATAAAAATAATCTACATCTAGATCAGGGGTCTCAAACTCAAGGCCCGGGGGCCAAATCCAGCCTGCGACTTCATTTTATGTGGCCCCGCAAGAGCTTGCAAAGAATATAATACGTTTATTATACGGTTACATGCCACTTTACAGATGCAGGTTGCCCATAAACTACATGTCCCACAATGCATCTCGTTTTGTGACATGCCACTGAAGAGACTTGCAATTATTTGCCCTGGACTTCTGCTTTCAGACGTAGTTAATTACTAAGTTATTATCCTATCCGATAATAATCCAATTCAGAGGCAATAATGTAATATAATATATTATTTTATATATATATTATATATTTATATAGTTACAACCGGCCCTTTGAGTGCAACCTTTATGCGAACTTGGCCCGCGATGAAATTGAGTTTGACACCCCTGATCTAGATGGTTCAACTTCAATATCATGTGAAAAGTAATTCACACCACTACTGCTATCTTATCCATTACAAGAATGTTGAAGAAGCAATGGCTATGGTGTTATTGTTCCTCTTTAACAGTTAGGCCTACAGCAAGAGACAAAGAGGAGTATGAATCAAGCACAAACATTGCACGCCCACAGTGAGGAAGGTGAAACAAGGCAACATAACAAGTGGACACACCTATGTGGGTGGATCATGGGTTACTTTACCAACTCGGTTTAGCTCCTGCTGCCCACAAGAATCTTAGAATAACAGGACAAAGGAAATAATAAAGAAATAGAAGAATAATTATCTTGCAACTTGACAAAATACCTTTTTTTTTTTCTAAGCATTCATTTTGAGGTGCTATATCATGAAAATGTAACAAAGAACATCAGAGATGCCTCAAACGCAGGCAGACTTGGACATGTCCAATGTGTCTCTATTAAAGTACCATCACTTTGTCAGTATCGAGCACACTTCTCAACCACCCCGCTGTTGTATATTATGTATATATATATACATATATATATGATATACTACACTCAGATATTGTACTTAAAAATAAATGGTACGTAAAAATAAAACTACCACAGTGTAGGCACACGTCGCTAAAGTTCTAGTAGTAAAAGCACTCAATATGCAAATTAACCCATTCCAGAATCAAGTATCATATGTTTAATTATAATTATTGATGCATTAATGTGTTTATCACAGTTGGTAAAAGGGGTTATTGATATTTCACATTAGTAGTCAAAATCTGTAAAGGAACTGAGGGTGTTAAATACATTTAGTGGAGTCAAAGTATGATTCAGCTCTGAATTGTAGTGAGGTAGACGTACAAAGTAGCAACACATTATAATACTAAAGTAAAGTACAAGTATCTAAAAATTGAAATTAAGTACAGTACTTGAGTAAATGTACTTGGTTACTTCACACTACTGGCTAAAAGTGTGTTATGTCGCTGCGCACTCTGCACAGCTGTCGTCATTTACGGTAAACCGGAGGTTGTGCTGCGCCCGTGCTGCGGTTATTACGGCCGACCGTTGGTGAGCCCTGATCATGTGACCCCGGCAGCTGTGAGGAGAGCCGTGTCATCTTCTCCATCCCGCAGAGCAGCGCGGATGAAACACCGGTCACACTCAGAGCAGCATTCGGGGAAAAGGCCCCGTGTTCCCGCCGCGGCAGCCTCCACCTCCACCTCGCCTCAAGACGGCATGGAGGACAAAACACCGTCCAATCCGCGGGAACTCACCCAAAACCCCCTAAAGAAGATATGGATGCCGTGTAAAAATGGCCTTCCTGAAAAACACATTTCTCAAAGAAAGGGTGCGTATGAAGACGTGGCGTCAGCTGACAGCGTCGGTATCTGAGTTTCTGCGTTATTGACAACGGGGGGGGGTTGAATAACATATCTGTCATTGGTTTCCGTGTTGTTCCCATTTGAATGCACCTAGCCTAAAGCACGTTGCTAATGCAAATAGGTCCACCTGCGTGTAGCATGGATCCAGTGATGCAAAAGTAGTTAATCGAGTAAACATTTGACGTATTACCCAATTATGTTCATGTTATACTACTTTATACTTATACTCTACTACATTTTGGAACATTTACTAAGGTTATTTTACAGATGTATTTACTGGTTACTTTATGAATTCAGATTTTGACAAACATTACCTAGGAAAATCGTTTAAAATATGATTATTTTTATATATCAAACCATCCAACGTTATATTTAAGTATCTAAAACCGTGTGGGTTAACAACAATGTTTTAATTGTAATTAAGATTGTTTTTGTTAAAAAAATATTTCACAGTTTATTGTGAAGATTAGCTGCTGAAGTACTATTCTTGATGCAGTGCTTTTGGTTTAAATTGAGTATTTTTACAGAATGGTATAAGTACTTTTACTCAAAGAATATGTGCTCCCTTCCATAATGGGCCACATAAAGCCTGAAGTGTACATGTTTTGTTCTATAATAATTGTTATCTGAATGCTCTCTCCACCACTACATACATCTGAATGTTATGTTAGCTCACATTGGCTTTAACACGTGACCTCAGTCCTCAGATGTCTTGCTGTTTCTGCAGCCATCTGGTTCACACAGTTATGTAAGGATTCACATGATGAAGGCTGCTCGCATGGAGGAGAAAGGGCTGGCACTGGGGGAGTTCACCTCTTTGTTACTGTGTGCCATGGCTAGTTGTTGGTAAACAGGATTTGTATCCCATCAGTCATGTGAGGGATGATTTGCCCCCTGTGGAGCTGCTGTTTTTTCTCATCTCGGTCACTTTTCTGTACAGTCAGTGGTTCATCACTGGGGACTGACTGACACAGGATTTTTTGAATCAATTAGACTTTAATATGGTGGTCTCTTTGGGTGGAGTAAAGTTGGTTGTCAAAGTCACACTCATGGATGAAGTTGTGAAAGGTGCTTTTGGTATTGTATGTAATGCATGCACTAAACCTGCCACAGTGTTATTTCCTCCTCCGAAGTAAATTTCCATGCCTTTTTACAGACAGGAAGTGTTACAAACATGAACATTATTTTACCAGAAAATGCATATAAATAAGTACCCATAAAAAAAATCTCGCTCTCTGACCCAGTCATCTGTGCACACACTGCGTCTGAATGTGGACAGCGTTACACAACTGCTCAGCCTGGTGCCACCGTGACCTCTGCTCCTGTCTGACTAGACACTCAGGGTGGTGTGATGTGACTTCATGGCAGATTACTCTTTATTTCACGCATCAATAATGTGCCAGACCGGGTACAGGAAGATTTTACAACCAATGCAGGCACATTTGCAACTGTGAAAATTATCAATTGATATGTTTGTTAGGAGGGCGTTTTACACTGAGATTGGATCTGTTATGTGATTAGAACACGACTTACACTTTCTCCTTTTTCTTTCCAGTATGTATGACCAACTGCCCCACGCTGATAGTGACGGTGGGGCTTCCTGCCAGGGGGAAGACGTACATCTCCAAGAAGCTGACCCGCTATCTCAACTGGATCGGAGTTCCCACCAGAGGTACCCAATTCATTCTAGAGAATATAATAAATGAAGTCAGTGTGAGTGTCACAAGCTAAGACAAAGATGATCTCCATTTCTCCCATAGAGTTCAATGTGGGGCAGTACAGGAGAGAGTTTGTGAAGATCTACAAGTCCTTTGAGTTCTTCCGTCCAGACAACGAGGAGGGGTTAAAGATCAGAAGGTAAGAGTGGCCTCAGCCTGAACTTTCGATTAAGTCACCAACCATGTGAATCATTTACTGATGATATCTGTGATCTTTACAGACAGTGTGCCTCAGCAGCCTTGAACGATGTGCGGCAGTATCTCACAGAAGAAGGAGGCCAAGTGGCGGTAAGTCCAATGTCTAATTCTGTTTTGGGTTCAAAGTGTTGTTGAAACACAGTGCAATGCTAACTATCTTATCCGTTTTTGTTCTGTCTGCGTTCAACAGGTTTTTGATGCAACAAACACCACTAGAGAAAGAAGAGAAACCATCATCCAGTTTGCAGAGCAGAACGGGTTTAAGGTAAAGTGTTGCGTCATATTCTGGGAGAACATATAATGCTTTATTTCACATCCACACTAAGTTCCTCCTTCTCCTCATCATCTTCTCTCAGGTGTTCTTTGTGGAGTCTGTGTGTGAAGACCCAGATGTCATACAGGAGAACATAGTGGTACGTGTATGAATGTATCTGTTCATTTTATCATAAAGGATAAGGAGCTTCAGTCCATCTTGTACTCACTCCACTCCGTTTCCTTTTTTAGCAAGTGAAGCTAAGTAGCCCGGACTACGCCAACTGTAACACGGAGGAAGCGGTAGAGGATTTCCTGAAGAGGATCAAGTGTTATGAAAACTCCTACGAGACGCTGGATGAAGTCCTGGACAGGTGAGGGGAAGCTGCTGTGGAGAGAGGGTTGGGTAGACGTCCTAGCTATGAAGCATTATCGGAATAACTAGCTTAGCACGTTAGCCATTTTCAAGATTATTCTGTCATTTTGAATGATGGGGTTAGAGTTGTTGTTTGGTCTTTTTAAAATGGTGAGTATTTAGTGTATCCCAAACCTAAGCTGTCTTATTTTATCCTCAACTTAAAGACCTTCAGTTTACTTTCATAGAAGAGTAAAGAAACCACAACTTTTCTCTGGAATCAGAGAATTTTGCCCTTTTTGTTCTTTAAAGTGGACCTATCATGCTATATTTTAATAATATAGTGTAGGACCATACCTATATAAGGCATATTTATACCTTTTCTTTTTTCAAAATACCAAACGGATCATGCATTTTAACCATGCCTCATTTTGCTCAATTTGCACTTTTTTTTAGCCCTGTTTTTGCAAGGGCAGATTCAGTGAGAACAGCACCACCTACAGGCCTGGCATATGTACTACAGCGTCTCCAGCGCTTTCGAACGGCAATGGCCGTGGCTGTCTCCTCCTGATTGGTGGAGTTGGCCCAATAGCCGTAGTGCCACCGTCCTGACGTCAGGACAGTGTTCAAATCTGGATCAGTTTTTATCAGATCCGTTGCAGCCCCTTTTTTAGAGATTTGGGTATGGAGGAAAATAGAGAGGGTTGTGTTTTCTGACACTTGGTGAGTTCCCTGGAACACCGGGGACACATATTCATGTATAAAAGACGTACAAAAGTGCATTTTGCATGATAGGTCCCCTTTAAAGAAAAACTCAATTTGATTAGCAAGATCTTAGCAATGTATCTAAAGTGTCCGTGTTCTCCCCTCAGGGACCTCTCCTACATTAAAATCATGGACGTGGGTCAGCGGTACATGGTGAACCGGGTGTTGGACCACATCCAGAGCCGGATCGTCTACTACCTCATGAACATCCACATCACGCCGCGCTCCATCTACCTGTGCCGCCACGGGGAGAGCGAGCTCAACGTCAACGGGCGAATCGGGGGAGACTCGGGCCTCACACCGAGAGGGAAAGCAGTACGTCAAACTTCTTCAATTAGAGAGATTTCTTTAGCTTTAATTACCTATCTAGATTATTTAATTTGATCTTTGTTTTGCAGTTTGGGAAGAAGCTGAGCCAGTTCCTGGAGACGCAGGGCATCAGCGACCTGAAGGTGTGGACCAGTCAGATGAAAAGGACCATCCAGACGGCCGAGGCTCTCAACGTGCCCTACGAGCAGTGGAAGGTCCTGAACGAGATCGACGCAGTGAGTGGTTTATACTGGACCGCTGAGAAAATATGTGTGTTGACGTGTGCGATGCTAATGAAGTTTAATCTGTGTGTGTGATGTCATTGTAGGGCGTGTGTGAGGAGATGATGTACGAGGAGATCCAGGATCACTATCCTCTGGAGTTTGCTCTGAGGGACCAGGACAAATACCGCTATCGGTACCCCAAAGGAGAGGTCAGTGGAAACTCAGTGTCGTTATGTGTTCTCTGATGATGGGAGGTGTGTGTTGTGTGTGTGTGTGTTAGGGCTTCTGGTGAGGTTTAAAAAATTAAGAGCAAACTGTTTGTGATGTTGTTTTTAAGTTATCTGCCAAATACCTTCTCAATTTATCATTTGTCTGTAACATCGCAGTTTCTCAAAGTATTTCGTTGTGTTGTTTTATGAGCCCAAAATATCACATTTTTAAACAATTAGTTCTAGTGTCGATCGATTCTTTTTTTACTAAACATTGCTCTGGAGTTGAGAATTATTTTAAGATCCTACGATGAGTGGGAAACAATCCAACGCAATCTTTCAAAAGTGTATATATTTGTATAACAATGGCTGCACCCGAAAGAGTGTTGACATCCATGATTGAAGTATGGTATGATTTTAAAGTGGACCTATCATGCTATATTTGAATAATATAGTGTAGGATATAGTGTAGGACCATAAGGCATATTTATACTTTTTTTTCTTCAAAATACCAAACAGATCATGCATTTTAGCCATGCCTCATTTTGCTCAATTTGACATTTTTTAGCTCTGTGTTTGTAAGGGCAGAACAGCACCATCTACTGGCCTGGCATATGTACTACAGCGTCTCCAGCACTTTCGAACGGCAATGGCCGTGGCTGTCTCCTCCTGATTGGTGGAGTTGGCCCAATAGCCGTAGCGCCACCGTCCTGACGTCAGGACAGTGTTCAAATCTGGATCAGTTTTTATCAGATCCGTTGCAGCCCCTTTTTTAGAGATTTGGGTATGGAGGAAAATAGAGAGGGTTGTGTTTTCTGACACTTGGTGAGTTCCCTGGAACACCGGGGACACATATTCATGTATAAAAGACGTACAAAAGTGCATTTTGCATGATAGGTCCCCTTTAAGCTTTCAGCAATTTGGTTACAGCCCTACTTTTTGTAAAACGTTGCAGTAGCTGGTGAATAGTGTGCCACTGTTTGACATTTGGAATGTCTCAAAACGGCCCTCCTTTGTGATTTGAATAACACACCCTCATAGAAACGTACATGTACACACAAAACGATTAAAGTGCTTCCAGGTGGCTACTGTCCACTCACTCTTTGCTAATGAGTCTCGGCTCCAGCCTTTTAAACCGATTTGGATTACAGTAAACAAAGACCTTTTCACATTAGTCTGTGAGTGTGTGTGTGCTCTGAAGATGTGTGTTTACTGTCTGCGTGTCTGAATGCCCGCCGGTCTGTTCTCACCTTGAGTCCATACCATTACCTCTCCGTTAATGAACCACAGGAAGATGGATGCAGGCATTAGCGGCTGCTGCAGGGAGGCTCTGGGGAATCCTGTTAGAGCTAGAGCTGGTCTAGACGGCCTGTATTGATTTTTCCACACGCTTAAATGTCAATCTGTTTAACCTAGATTAATTATTTAGCAGAATGTGGGAAAGAAAAAAGATTGTTTACGTTTGAACAGATTTACAGCTCTTTCTCTGTTGTATTTAATCATTAAATTCAACTCTATGGGTTTTAATGGGCTCTTTCATCAGAAGAAATATGGATAGAGCCTTCTATAGATTATAATTACCATCCTAATATCACATTTAGCTCAGATTTTCCTTTGTGTCTTGTGCTTCAGTCGTACGAGGACCTGGTGCAGCGGCTGGAGCCGGTCATCATGGAGCTGGAGCGGCAGGAGAACGTTCTGGTGGTCTGTCACCAGGCCGTCATGCGCTGCCTGCTGGCCTACTTCCTGGACAAGACGGCAGGTCAGTCCTTCAACGACACCTCAGAGGAGCCCTGGGGTCGTTAAGAATAAAGCACTCAAAGAAACAAACACAAAATAAACTTAACACATAAGCACATATGCTGTTAAGGTAACTTAATCAGAAGTTGAAATGTAGGAAATCACAAAGTTGAAATAGATAAAGAAACTTGAAAGAAAGGTAAATTCACATGCATTAGAAGATGGAATATTTTGCAAAACAATTAAAGGTTAAAGGTGGGGTAGATAATTCACTTCAGATACACTTTTTGTTATGTTCCATGGAATGCTCTTAACATCCCGATAGCAATGAATACATTAAATGCTTTGACAATAAATACATTAAAAAAAATTCATCTGTGGAAGCCGTGGTACTGTAAAAAGCACGACCAATCATCTGAGCCGGCCCGGCTAAAATAACTGGATGGCCTACCTGCCTGTCAGCCTTCCATCTGTGCACAAACTTATCTTGTGCCCTCATTGGTGTTGGAGGAGGGGCTCTGTAAGGAAGTCTGAAAGAAGGGGCAGATTTTTTCCGGCTGCGTACTTTCAAATTCTAGCGCACTCGAGCTGGTTTCTCCACTCTTACCTACCCTACCTTTAAGTAAAGATTACAAATCAGATAATGAGATTATCTCGAGGTTGAACTGGCAGATAAGTTACACCTGTCTTTTTAGTCAAAATATTGTATTCCACACACGGTAACAAGCTTTATTGTTAACACCAGTAATCTCTTTCTCTAACCACTCTTGTCCTTGCTAGAAAAAACACATATGACCGATGAATAGATGTAGTGTCATGAACCCGTGTGTCTCTCCCCCCTCAGAGGAGCTGCCCTACCTGAAGTGCCCGCTGCACACCGTGCTGAAGCTGACGCCCGTGGCCTACGGTACGACGGCTTTCCTGTTGGCATCTAATTCACACAATACATGTATCTCTGATTAACAGGGATACAAAAATCCCTCTTATGCTGCATGAACTAAGTAGATGAATGTTTTATGTGCATCCTTTGTAGGCTGTAAGGTGGAGTCCATCAGCTTAAACGTGGAATCAGTCAACACACACAGAGAACGACCAGAGGTGGGTATAACAACACACACAAACACACACAGGTACACACAGTAAGAAGACCCATTCCAAACCGAACCCGACACACTCTTCACTCCATGACTCCTTTAGTTGTAGGGTGTGAATACAGAAGCAAACCTTTGGGACCAACTCCCCTCTCTGGCAGAAACAGAAATTGTTGTAACTTTTTGTAAACATGGTTTAGCATCTCTTTGATAATCATAATAAAAACTCAGAAGATCTTTAATGGCATTTCCTTTTTTTTTGCAAAGCTCATTTTGTTTTAAATCTAATGTTTAAAGGTGGGGTATGTAATTTATTTCAGAAACACTTTTTGTTATATTCAATGGAATGCTCTCAACATCCCGATAGCAATGAATAAATTAAATGCTTTGACAATAAATCCATACAAAAATGTCATCTGTGGAAGCACGACCAATCATCTGAGCCGGCCCGGCTAAAATACAGGGATGCAAACTTGTCACCTTTCGGCGAAATTCGCCGTTTTGAATCCAAAATAGGTCGTTTGTGTGATTCATGTAGATCTGCAATAAAAATATTTTTGGGGTATGGGGGGGGGTCTGGGACCCGGAGTAATCTGCGGCCGTGAGCTGTTATGTGCCATCATGACACGCATGGTGTTATTTTTTTTATATATTATAATGAAGCGCGAGCACAAGTCTTCCTGCCTGTCAGCTCTGCTCATGGATGTATAATAAGGCTCTGCTGCTCCGGGATGAGGGTCTAGCTTCAGCAGCTACATTACCTACGGTGCGTTCGTTAATATTAACTGTGCGGTCCGGAGTCACTGTGGCACAGACTGGACCGCTGGTGAACAGCTGTTAGAACGGGCCGTTCAGAGCAGAGCTCCCTGTCGGAGCGGCAGAGCGTGATGTGCACTGAAAAGTTTTTCTGTCACAATATTATTTAATGAATCGTTGAGCGAGCTAACTAGCATACATTGTCACTATCTGCTAACTTTAGCTTTAGCCTTCGTTTTCTAATAGTTTTTTTCATAGGCTATAAACGGAGGTGGTATAATAAGTATAGATCTTGAGTAAAAGTAGAAGTACTCAGATATTGTACTAGAGTAAAAGTAGAAGTACTCAGATCTTGTACTTGAGTAAAAGTAGAAGTACTCAGATCTTGTACTTAAGTAAAAGTACAAGTACTCAGGTCTTGTACTTGAGTAAAAGTAGAAGTACTCAGATCTTGTACTTGAGTAAAAGTAGAAGTACTCAAATTGTGTACTTGAGTAAAAAAAAAAAAGTACTCAGGTTTGAGTAAAAGTAGAAGTACCAGAGTGTAGGAACAATCCTGCAATCAAAATGTTCCTCAAATAAAAGTACAAAAGTATTATCATCAAAATATAGTTAAAGTAGCGACAATAAAAGTAGAAGTACTCAGATCTTGTACTTGAGTAAAAGTAGAAGTACCAGAGTGTAGGAATACTCTGTTACAGTAAAAGTCCTGCATTCAAAATGTTCCCCAAGTAAAAGTAGAAAAGTATTCTCATCAAAATATAGTTAAAGTAGCGACAGTAAAAGTAGTCATTATGCAGATTGGTCCATTTCAGAATAATAGATATGATATGTTTTATAATGATTGATCATGAAAGTGTTCTCAAAGCTGGTAAAGGTGCAGCTAGTTTGAATGACTTTGTATACTGCAGGGTAGCTTGTGAATTTACTCCAGGTGGAACTAAAGTCTGATTTAACACTTGATTAGATTTCACATCATTCATCCACATCTGTGAAGTAACTAAAGGTATTAAATACATGTAGTGGAGGAAAAGTACACCATGTACCTCTGAACTGTAGAGGAGTAGAAGAACAAAGTAGCAAAACATTGAAATACTTAAGTAAAGTACAAGTATCTCAAAATTATACCCAAGTATAGTACTTGTTGAGTTTATGAACTTACTTTACACCACTGGCTATAAAGATAGAAAGACAGCCTTGCACAGAGGCATGAAAATACATTTTCAAAATGCTCAACAGTCCTGCCAAAATTATAAACTGACTGCTACACAATTAAAATAAATGCTTTTATATATTTCTATTAGATGTGACTCTTTGGCGTTTCTGTTATTATTAACTGCTGCTTTAGTTGTTCTGACTGCTAAAATCCTCTGTTATTCCTCATTTTAAAGCCGATATTCCGTGGGGTCGGGGGGCTCGGATCCTTGTCACCTTTTTCATACCTGATGAGTTTGCATCCCTGAAAATAACTGGATGGCCTACCTGCCTGTCAGCCTTCCATCTGTGCACAAACTTATCTCGTGCCCTCATTGGTCATGTGCACGTCCGTGTGTGTTGGAGGAGGGGCTCTGTAAGGAAGTGGCCGATTTTTTCCGGTTGTGTATTTTCAAATTGTAGCGCACTCGAGATGGTTTCTCCAAAATTACCTACCTCACCTTTAAAGGCTGCTAGGCTTTTGCAACCGCTCCTGTATATGTACATCACACTCTGCTGTTTTCTAGATTAGACATGGGTTTGAATGATTATAGGTAAAAATACAACGTAACCTTTCATTTGAAGAGCTTACACCCTTTAGATGAACATGCCTCCTAGTGGGTCATGTGACAGTTTCTTACAGGGTTTGATGCTAAAAAGCTACGATGAAAGTACTCATTTAAACTAAATGCAAATGCTGGCTTTAATGGAAAATGTTATGAACTGAAATGTACATACTTTTTTAATGGATAAAGTGATATGATGAAAATCGATACACTCATTTACAGGTGGAGTTTGGGATTTTCCGATAACTTTCCAATACCTAAAGCCTCTTTGTGGGATAGTTAGTATTTTTCGGCAAAACAAATTGTCAGAGGAAACGGTAAACACAAACACGCCTCCGTACTGAACGGCCCGGTCTGTGCAGTGACCTCTCCCATGTGTTTTGATCCCCCCCCCCTCTTTGTGTTTTTTGTTGTTTATCAAACAGAACGTAGAAGTGTCGCGGATGTCAAAGGAGGCTTTGCTAACAGTGCCAGCTCACCAATGAGGCAGTGCCCCCCCCCCCCCCTTAAGCCCTCTATACACACACTGTCACCTTCAGAATCACAAACGCTTTCTCCTCCACCCAATCTGATCGAATCCCTGTTTTCTTCTTCCTCCATCACATGATGATGATGATGATGTTGGTAATTGACTGGAATCCAGTTTCTAATTTTGATCATTGATTGTAAGACACAGATATTGTCTCGAGCCCATTCTCCCATTTTTGGAGAGTGAATGGAAAGCAGATGAAGGTTTTTTCTTTTTTTTTAAACTGATGCCGTTTTACCAACTGTGAAGCAATGACTCTCCAGCACCTCTTTGTCTTTAGTGATGTTTGGTTTCTCTGTCTAACAGATTTTTACAATGTTAACTTTTAGCAATGTGTTTCTGTGCCAAGTCAGTAATTGCACAACACTAAACATTTGTGCCTTTTTTTTATATTTTGCACTTGAGAATATTTTACTTTTGTTAAATGTTCTCATTACCAGTTTGTCTTTAGGATGTCTAACGTTGTCTAATGAAGTACAGACACACTTTCTGTGTTATATGTGAAGGTTCTTACAGTATATTCATCTCTCTGATCAGACCTAAGAGGAGATACTTGTGTTTGTTTTCTAAATAAACTCCTCTATAATTTCATGTGTTCGTACCCCCTCTTGTGTGATTCATTTTAGAAAATGTGCTCAATCCATTATTTCTGAAAGTTAGGATCTTTGGTTGAATGCTTTACATCAGTGGTAAATCTTACGCTAAAATACGACAACAATTCTGAGATGGTAGTTTTGTAACTCATACTGCTAGAGATCAAAAGACTGATGACTTCCTTCCTACTGGTGCTATCCTCAGATGTTCAGTGCAGCCCTTCCTGCTTACGCTGCAAACTGAAGACTCAGATTTCCATTCATTCATATGCAAAGACTCCACTGGGTGCTGCCATTCATCAGCCTGAACAAAACCCTCACTGTGTCACACACACATTTATTCTGCCTCAATTCAGAGTGAGAACAACATGCTAACAGCTAAAGCTAGTGATACTGTTACATTGGGGGTTAATCAGTTATAGGAGAAAAAAATGATTTTGTAGTGATTACAAAATTAAGTAAACGTTAGACCCATATGTTTACATGGTGTGTCATCAGGAAAAATAAGAATTCAAAGTGTAATTTGTATATAATTATATAGTGCTGCCACCATGGGATGCTTGATGTTATGTCAGCATCTGTTAACTATGAAACAGGTCTGCTACTCTGCACTTTAATAAAATAACCGGAAACATCCAGTACAGTTTCAACGAGGCCAAATCATGACTGACCCAATTTAGATTTCTAATAACTCATTTTCTAATATGGCAAATTCAGGCTACAGCACATCCACAAAAATAAGTTATCTCTCTTTCAAAAACCACAGGTCATACAGTTAGACATGCATGGGCGGATTATGAGACAATGAGCTCCTGCACAATTATGTAAAGACCCACCGCCTCTCCTACAAAGAGGGGGGGCTTGTTCTGGGCACGACAGTTAACCATCCCTGATAACTTTTCTATTAAAGGGGACCTATTATGCTTTTCTGCCTGTACTGTGACATGTTTCCATGCTTTACTGTTCAAAAAGATCTTTATTTTTCTCATTACTGCCTCTTTTCACCCTCTGACGGGAACCAGAGTCCAGTTTATCCAAAAGGAATCTAACACTGAGTCCTTCCTCTCTCTCCAGAATGTGAACATCCATCGCTCGACTCAAGACGCCCTGCTCACCGTCCCCCCTCACCTCTGACAGAGAGACGCCCCTCACCTCTGACAGAGAGACCCCTCCCTGCCTCTCTATGGACTGGTGGTCGTTTCACTTCTCCATCGTTCAAAACCTGCCCTTATGATGTGCCACCTACTCCTTCAACCCCACTGCCCCACACACACACACACACACACACACACACACACACACACACACACACACACACACACACACACACACACACACACACACACACACACACACACACACACACACACCCTTATATCCTTCTTTTTTTTATTTGAGGAAGCTTAACCTGAACATATCTTGTGTTTGAGCCTCAGTGTTTTTATTTGCAAGCTACAAAGTCTGGCACTTCAATCTACGTTATTTATCAATCACAGATTCTTTGTTGCTATATTCAGTGATATTGTGCAGCAGTGGAATTCAATCTGAAGGGTGAAGTATTAATTATGTTGTTTTATCTAATGATACACATGATGCAATCCTTGTTTAATGTGACGTGTCTTCAGTTGTAACGTGCAAGGTATAAAACCCTAAAGAATCGATACAAAGCTTTTGATTATGTTGTGACTTAATGAAGAAATAAATGGTGATTCTCACTGTTGTTAAAAACAAACTTAACATTTTATACAGGTGGGTTAATTATATTTAAATGAAATGGTATTGAAAATGCAATATTAGCTCAAAGCTTTATATCTCATGACTTGTAAATGTGTTATTTTTATAAACCGACCTGTTGTCATCTTTGTCATTATGGGTTTAACTCTTAGGGCTGCACTGATGATCATTTTCAATTGCTATTAATCTGCCTGTACTTTAAGCAACAACGTTTCTTTGTCCTACCGACTGTCTAGGAATATAAGTATTCAGTGTGCAATAATAAATAATAAAGACAGAATCACACTTGAGGTCCTCTTAAGATTTGTTGTGCATTTAGCTGATATTTCTTCTGTATTTTGTATTATTCGGGAATAGGTCATTGTGCTGGACGAGTATTTTTAAGTATAATTTTTGCACTTTAATTACATTTTGATGCTAATACTTTAACTTATGTAGTATTTTGAAATCAGGACTTGTGGAGTACCAGAATTAAGACCATAGTATTTGTACTTATACTTAAAGGTGGGGTAGGTAATTCACTTCAGAAACATTTGTTATATTCCATGGAATGCTCTTAACATCCCGATAGCAATGAATAAATTAAATGCTTTGACAATAAATACATTAAAATATTTCATCTGTGGAAGCCGTAATACTGTAAAAAGCACGACCAATCATCTGAGCCGGCCCGGCTAAAATAACTGGATGGCCTACCTGCCTGTCAGCCTTCCATCTGTGCATAAACTTATCTCGTGCCCTCATTGGTCATGTGCGCGTTCGTGTGTGTTGGAGGAGGGGCTCTGTGAGGAAGTCTGAAGGAAGGGGCAGATTTCTTTCGGCTGCGTACTTTCAAATTCTAGCACTCGAGCTGGTTTCTCCATTCTTACCTACCATACCTTTAAGGAGTGCTACTTCCAACACTGGTTTCCCGAAAATAAGTATATTTGCCATTTTCATAAATCTAAAATGATGCCATTAAATTCATCCTCTGAATTCTCACATTGGTTGAGTTTAATAAAATAAGGATCAGTGCAGTACACGCCTTGTGCAGCAGGGGTGTGTGGAGATATACCGAGATCATCAAATACCTCTGAGGAAATAAAAGTTACATTATTTACTCTCATTTTGAAACTGCCACTTCTATAATCTTAAGTGAAATCATTTGGGTTACGTAACTGCTTTACAACTAAAAATGCTTTTGCACAGTCTGCTGAATAACTTCCCCTTCCTCAGCTGAAATAATACAGTGGCTGTGTGTAAGGCTGAGCTGTGGTCGAAATGCAAACTAAAAACAACTTCCTCAGAAGCAGAACACATCTGTTTTTAGGTACAGTACAAATGCTTACCCTGAAAGACGGCAACAGTTACACAGAAAGTTATAAACAACTGGCTTTATTATCTCTCATTATTTTCATACATGTGTTTTGTTGGCTTCTCTACAGACAGCTATTTCTCCGTGCCTGCGACTAAACGCCACTCTTTCCTGAACAGAGACATTTTGGAGACAAATTTGAAACAACAGTGACCGTGAACACGCAGAGTCATACACAAAATACAAAACAACATGGCCGTTTTTATTTGCAACACTGCGTTCTCAGTGCCCCTGTACTCATGACTATCAACTGGATTAATACTTTAAGGACCCGCCTTTGTTTGGGGATTTGTTCTAAGTGGCGTAAAATGAAACTGGTAAATATTTCATTATATACAGTCATTGATATTCATGAGTACAGGGAAATACTCGAGACGGGTGCAAAGGGTGTCATCATCGCCGGATTGGTCACGTTCCTCTCATCTCCTCGCTGATTGGCTATTTACTCCACTCCTGTGCTGATTGGCCCTTTGGAGCGTTCTCACGGCTTGTGTGGGACCAACACTGTCATCAGAACTGTGGAGCCAAATCATTCTCAATGTTATCATCACTGAACATTTGTACACAATTGACCATGATTTGTCTTTCTGTTATATCCAAAAATAAAAATATTAGCAAGAGAAATTCTTACGTTTTTGAGGAATTCCTCAGCAACGATACGAGCCCTGGCGTTAACGGACAGTTTCATCTCGCTGATCTCTTTGTCGATCTCCTCCATGAAGTGGATAACAAAGTCCACCAGCTTGTGTTTGTACATCTGCTCCGTGTGGAAGTTGGTAATCAAGAAGCTGATATCATATCCCTGAAATCACAGTGCAAGGGAGGAAAGTGAGTCAGAGAGAGAAACTGCTTTACACCTCAAATGTCACTTGTGTAATTATAATCATGGAAATACACATTGTAAATATTAAGGCATTTTAAGTTGGTATATTGATTCTAAGAGATTGGCGCATGAGCCGCCCTTTGACGTTGGAACGGTTCACATTGTTCCTCTTTTTGTTTTAATCTTCCTGTATAATCATCCCTCTTTTGTCACTGCTTTCTTTAATTCTGTTATCTTTTCTTACCTCTACTGCTTTCCTCCTCAGAATGAAGAAGTTCTCTGCCCTCATCATCATGAAGCGCATGAACTTGTGGCAAAGGATCTTCTCAATCTCATCAGCCTGCAGGGAAGAAAGTTTTTATTACTGCATGTTCGGTTGTCCAATAAAATCAGGAAATGTGCACAGCCGTTAGACAAAAACAGTATAAATGTTGCCGTTATTAAATCACCTGCTTGACAGCAATGCTGACTCTGACAGAGTTGATGGATCCCTCGATGAGAACCCTCTCCTTGTCATTACGGCTGATCACCACAGGCTGAAGTAGCAACTCCTTACTGCTCCTGTAAACACAGCACAATCCAGCTGTTAAACATAAAACCAAGCCTGTCTGTTATAAACTGTTGTGTTTTCTAGACACTAAGGGTCAGCATTGTGCTTGGGACTGTGCTTGGGACTTTACATGGCGCTTTAAATAACCACAAAACTGACTTGAAAAACGTTTAATCTTTACACTGCATTGCATTTGCAAGACATCTACAAACAAAGCAGAGCAAGTCCCCGCTGGCCAATTTTACAGCCTTGCCCATGCTTGTGTCATTTTTTCCCCCTGCTAGATGTTCTTATGCAAGTTTGTACAAGTCCATACTTGTTTGACAGCTGTAGAATATCTGCAAAACAGCCTGAGGGCAAAGAAACTGCAATGCAGGGGGATAAGCAGTAGGACTGAAATCACCAAAGACATGCCATCAAACCTACCTGACCTCCACCTCCGGCTTGTTGTGGCGCTCCACCACCTGAGAGGAGAAGTTCTCCAGGCAGACGGCCGCCTGCAGGGTGGCCCTCACTGCGTTTAGGTAGGGGCGCAGAGTCGCTGTCTGAGGAGAAATAAAAGACAAGATCTTGATGGGTGGTGCTTTTGTTATTAAGATCAGGCTAAACCTCCCAGTACAGTGTGGGTGACTCAACCGGACTGTGAGGTCATGTTTGATCAGGAAGCGAAATGAGCTGTATGCAGGCATGCAGTCAGTTACAACAAACATGCATTCATCTTTACATTTTGTAGATACAACAATCATTTTAGAAAGAAAACATGATGATAATCAACATCAAGCTGATGAAAGGTGTTTGCATTGATGTGGGGGTCATTAAAACATAAATACATTCGCTTACATTAACGGTACTGAATGAGATATTGCGGCTGATCTAAATGATTTACGTCTATTTACTTCACGCTGCCTATACCGAACATATACACAAGGTGTCCACAGTCTAATGACATATCTGTATCAATGAAAGCTAGCAGCAATAGGAGAAAAGGGGCCGAGAGGAAAGACAGCTCAGCTCGATCACTTTAGTTTCGGCAAACCGTGTCAAGGATGCCCGTCCTCTCATTTCACCGAAACCCACCAGAAAACCCGTCCAAGAGAAACACGAAGCCACCTAGCTAATCTCAACTTCAGTGTAACCACGGTTAGCTGACATAAATGGCTAAATAAAGGAATATAAAGAGACATTTAGGGCAATAGACGTACCATTTTTCTGCTGTAAAAGACGGAAGTTCCTCAGCCACGCCTGGGACTCCTCTTCCGTAGATCCTACATCGTCTGGTTCAGATAAGGTGCGCTGGTTTTTCATCTGTGATTTTTCCACACACCAGAAATGCTGATGATTGCGCCTATCACTCCGCCCGGGTGGAGATGGTTTTCTCTAAAACGAGCACACCCTACGATGAGTCCATTCTGCGCTATCAGCAGGAGACACGTTTGTCAGCGACCGTTGGTTCAGAAATGATTAGACTAATTTTAACATGTTTTTGTTCAATAAAATACGTTAACAACAGCGTTTTAACCTAGATAGTACCGAGTGACATTTTACTGTGATGTGTTTAGCTGTGAATTGTTTGTATGCACCGTGACATAAAATGGTTTATTCCGATGCTACCATTCTGGCATTTAACTAACATACAACCACATCCAAATTCTTGATATTTGTTATTATGTATGTCTATATACGTGAGTATATAAGTTCCTTAGCAATGAATATACTTTGTTTGATCTTACAATTATTCTTAAATCGATAATAAGCTATACCTTTATTTGACTGTACATCACACCCCTCCCTAGTTACAATGGTTTATCCCATCATGGACGCCATTCACTGACGGTAAATATCGCTGCTCTTATACATTCAAATATATACATATATGTTTTGGGTTAGTTCCCTTTATGACTTGTAATATTAAAAGTAAGTCATGTAAAATGTGTTTCTACAAAAATGATAAATCATAGCGACCGTTATTAAAATGTAAGAGTAAGTTGGGCCCAGCGAGCTCGCGTCCTGTGATGCAGACCTCCGTGTACGTGCATTTGTGTGTGTGTGCGTGCGTGAGTGTGTGTTTCATGCGTGTGTGGGATGATAGATAGACCTAGAGCAGCACAACTGTACCACAATGTGCATGTCTCATCTTCTTGTGTTTTTATTATAATAATACACCCATACTGACTGTCCATGTTCTTGTATCAGTTACTGGAGACACTGGCAGCTCTCACAGCAGCATCATGAGTGAGCTGAAGGACTGTCCCCCACTGAAATACTACGACTTCAAACCTGTGGAGCATGTGAAGGTGTGTCCCCGATACACTGCGGTGCTCGGCCGGTCAGAGGACGATGGCATCGGCATCGAGGAGCTGGACACCCTGCAGCTGGAGCTGGAGACCCTGCTGTCCTCCGCCAGCCGCCGCCTGCGAGCCCTGGAGGAGCAGAGACAGGTGGGAGCAGGGGTGCAAAGTAACTAAGTACATTTACTCAAGTACTGTACTTAAATACACTAATGAGATACTTATACGTTACCTGAGTATTCTCAGTTTATGCTACTTTATACTTCTACTACACAACATTTCAGAATCAAATATTGTACTTTTCAGTCACTAGTGTAGGCCTACTGTTTAGGTTTAGATTGTCAGCTAATTCAAAATATAAATAATGTATTAAATAAACCTTGACATCCAATCCAGCAGCACTATATAAAGTTATTCAATTGTAATCCACCTTTACAAACTGTGATAAAAACACATCAATAATCATAATAACCCAGTGACTCAATATGTTTACGATTCTATAAGGGGCCATTATGTATAAGTAGTACCTTTAGCTTTTGGTACTTTAAGTATATTGTATGTCAATACTTTTGTACTTTTACTTAAGTAACATTCTAAATGCAGGACTTTTTTAAATATAGTATTAGTACTTTTACTTAAGTAACATATCAAAGTACTTTTCCCACCTCAGGGTAGGAGAAGGTTGGAACCCCCTTTCTTCATTTAACTTTCATTCCAAATCAGTAGTCTTTGTGTATCCCAAATAAAGACACCTAACATGACACTTTGTCCCTCTCCTTCCCCCTCTGTGTTTCCTCTCAGATCCTCACAGACTGGCAGGACAAGAAGGGAGACAAGCGGTTCCTGAAGCTGGGAAAAGACCCGGACCCTGCCGCCTCTACTCGCCACAAACCAAAGAAGCAGAAGTTGGACGGAAAAGGCGGTCACGCTCCGGGTCCAGGTCCTGGCAGACCCAAATCCAAAAATCTCCAGGCCAAAGCCCAAGAGTATGAATTTACTGACGATCCACAAGACATTCCCCGCACGCCCAAAAATGATGCACCCAACAGGTCAGTAACAACATTATTATAATATCTCTATTTACTCTTTGGCGCTCAGGGTGTTTTCAGACTTTATTCATCTTATTAGGCTGTTCTTACATAAGTGTGCTGTAGTTATAATTAGGGTAGTGTGAATATGATTTGTTCTGGCAAGGTGTTTGAAATGTTTCTTTTGAAATGTCAGATTTTGGGCCTCAGTCGAGCCATATTGTGCTGACATCACAAATGAAGAGATACGATTGCTGGAAGAGCTTCTGAAACCCCCGGAGGATGAGGCTGAGTATTTTAAAGTAAGACATAAAAAGACACTTACCTTTTGTCATGTACTGACATTTACTCAAGGCTTGGCCAACCTTCTGGATGTTTTTATGGTGATTAGTAAAATGTATGTATATGTTTACTGTAGATCCCAGCTCTGGGGAAACACTACTCTCAGCGGTGGGCTCAGGAAGATCTGCTGGAGGAGCAGAGGGAAGGAGCGCGAGCCAACGACAAGAAAAAGAGCCTCACGGGAGGACCACTGTCTGAGCTGGATGCTAAAGGTGAGGGAGGGCTCCACGTGGGCCATTGGGTCTGTAGTACGAGTCCTTAAACCCTGACATGAGTTAGCACTTTGTCATTTTCGGTTTGCTCGTCTCAAAGAAAATGTTTCACTCAAAGTGATTTAGTAAGATGCCTTAAATAAGGTCTGAGGTTACACACATTTTCAGGGTTTTTTTCTACGGTATACGTCAGTTAATATCCACTGGTGAAAGTTTTATGCATCTTAAAAATGGCGTTTGCTTCAAGTGACTTAAATAGGCTACTAAACGTCACCATGCCAACATGAATTGCCTTTAGCTTAGTGGTGTTGACCATGTGACTGTCATGTAGTGTTTTTATAGCCTATTGTTAGCTTTTCACTCCTGGAGATTTCATTTACACTTTTTCTTATCCTTTTGAACAAAAAGTTTAAGTACCATACATTTTTGTTTGCCTAAGATTTTATTTCTGCTATAATCTAAAATCCATTGCTTTTTGTTGAGGCAGCCCTTGCAATGCTAAGTTCTTGGTCGGCCTACAAAAATACGTCATCCATCCATGCATCACTATTGGCATACTGCACATGCATGTTTCCACTTTAATACTCACCTTCATGTTCGACTGCTGTAGATGTGGAGTCCCTGTTGAAAAAGTCTGAGTCCCAACACGACTCTCCAGAAGACGGATGTCCCTTCGGTCCTCTCACGCAGCGTCTGCTCCAGGCTCTCGTAGAGGTCAGTATGCTGTGATCAAACATGTTAACTGATAAAACCTTCAATAATGCACAGTGGCATCTGAAATATGAATGTTAAATATGGTGAAAACAGTAGAACTTAAGCATTTTTGCTCTTTATCTTTCCAGGAGAACATTATATCCCCCATGGAGGATTCACCCATACCCGACATTTCAGGGAAGGATGCGAATGACGGAGCTGGGACTTCTCCTCGGAGCCAAGGAAAAGCCTATAGGTATTTAATCCACTTACATTAAATAACTTGGGTAATTAGTAATTCACTAGATCATATGTTAAAATACAAATCCTTAACACAATTTATTAAAGACTTCCTTATAATCTTAAATACAGTTTGGCCTTTATTATGCAAGTTATCCTGTCTTATTGACAACTTTGGTCTTAACCATTGAGTAGAGATTTGTCTGGGAATATAATTACATTGCAGTGAAATACATGTTTTGTTCTAAAGCAAGGGCATGTCTATCAATGGTTATTTATTGTTATAATAACTATTTTTAGGTATACAAAGGGCCTAGTTAGATCTATATTTCATTATGACTCTTCCCATTAGGCGCGTTCACACCGGAGTACTTTTACCCCGTACTTTTCCCGTTTAGTTCCGTTAGTACCCCTTATGTCGCGTTCACACCAAAAAGAGTACTTAGTGCCGGGAACTTTTACCCCCATTTTTAGTGCCTGCTAGAGAGGTGGTACCAAAAAAGTACCAAAGAAGTACCAATTTCTATTGGCTGGGCGAATTGCAAACCACGCCCCGTAAAACTCTGAAAAGTTTTGTGAAGCCGCCATTGTATTTGTGGCATTAGCATTATTAGCATTAGCATTAGCCCTGCGCACCAACGGAGAGAGAATAACTTATGGCAACACAAAAGAAAACATGGGAGCGGTGGAGATGAGGAGGTGTCGGCGTTCTGGCGATTTACTCGGAAGGCTTCAGTAGAAGCAGCTGGGAGTCCCAGCAGCTTCTACTGAAGCCAGTCCCCAACTCCGGGGACTTCCGGCCGGGGACTTCCGGCCGGGGACTTCGGGTGGCAGTATACGCCGTGAAGTTGTTTGCGGCCTGCCAGTAAACCCAAAGCAGAAGAAGAAGAAGTGACGTCAGCAGCTCATTTGCGTAATCTTCCCTCAGGGACTTATTCTGGTGTGAACGCGATTGGTACTTAGTGCCCTGGGGTAATAAGTGCCGGCACTAAGTACGGCAAAGTACTTGGTGTGAAAGCGGCTAATGTTTACCCCATAGCAAAATGCAATGAAACAAATATTTATCTACTCTACTACCATACATTTTGTTATATTTATTTAATGAATCCAGTGTCGCTCATGTCTGCTTCTACCATTTATGCAATAGTAGTTAGAGATATGCATCTAAAGACTTAGAATGAATATCTGCACAAGCTGCTTTCCATTCTTCAATTGTCAGTTTTCCATCCAGGCTTTCCACTTATACTATCCGAAATATTTTACTTCCCTCTACGCCACACATATCTCATATCTTCCCCCCGCCCTCCAGTGTTCCTCACACCCGCACCCTGGAGGCCCGGATCAAAGAGGAGCTGGTGGCTCAGGGTCTGCTGGACTCTGAGGAGCGTCCCGGTCCAGGAGGAGACTCTGAGGACGAGGTGCTGGCGGAGCTGCAGAAGAGACAAGCCGAGCTCAAAGCCCTCACCACTCACAACAGATCCCGCAAACAGGAACTGCTCCGGTGAGGACGCAGGACAACAATACTTATATTTACCCTAAAGTAAAGTCTGATCAGCTAACAACATTAATTTCTGTACTTTCTGCCGCCTCACAGGTTGGCGAAAGAGGAAATGCGCAAGCAGGAGCTGAGGCAGAGAGTCAGGGTGTCTGACAACGAGGTGATGGAGGGATTTCGACGTATCATGGCAGCTAGACAGAAGAAACGCACTCCAACCAAGAAGGAGAAGGACCAAGCCGGGAAGGCCCTGAAGGAGAGGGAGAGCATCCTCAAGTTACTGGATGGATAGAGGAAGAAAATCTGCGTCTGGTTTTTATCTGGATGAGTCTTTGTGAACTGTGACAGTGAACAGCTGTGTTTCTGGTGATGTGTGATACGGTTTACTGCAGGTCTGTGTGAATTAAGTAGAGATATGTCTGTATTAGTTGTAATGTTATGTACAGCAGAATGCTCATTTGATCAGTAACATTTTGTACGCATCAAAGACTTGCTCTTTATTTTTTGAATATTTTTCTTTGTTAGTTGAATGTTGATGTTGCTTTTTCTTTTTACCATTGTGATGTTATGAAAACAATACACATGAATGTTTGAATAAATAAGTTCCACCTAAAAACAGTTTCATGTATGTGTGAAAGTTAATTCAAAGGTGATGCCCTGCAAGATGTGAATACACACTGCTGCTACTGATTCAAGTTATGGGTAACATCATTAGAAACAGTGATATTTCTTGGGTTGCTATGTTTATATGCTTATTGCTTTAATTTAGTTTAGTTTATGGTTTCGTAGACAGTTCCCATTAATGAACTGTAACAAAAACAGTATATGGGGCAGCTTTAGCCAACATGGCAAATTTCCAGCTGTTGTCCTCGGCCAGATGATAATAGACACCCTAAAAACACAATAATTCAGAAGCATTAATTAAGAAGGAATTCGGAAAGACAAGAAGATAGAGGAGAGAGAAAAGTAAAATGCAATTCCTTAAACCACAGGTACAATGCAGGACATTCGAGCACAGAAAGGCGTTGGCACCAATGTAGTTTGCAGTACAATCAATTGTGGCGCAGAAGCAACACATGTTATCGCATGCCAGCACTAAATGTACATGATGACAGCTACACTATTTAATCAGGTGAAAATGAAAGGGGCCCTATTATGCTCTTTAGGGTTTCCCTTTCCTGCAGTGTGTTATATAGGTTTTTGTGCATGGTCTGAAAAGAATACAATCTCCAAAGTTCCCTCCAGAGGGAGTTGCTCTTCCTTTAAAACAGGGGTGTCAAACTCAAATACACAGTGGGCCAAAATTAAAAAATGGGTACTAGTCGAGGGCCGGACTGGTTCAATGTTTATTGCAAAACTTATTGAAATGAACTTATTGCACATATTAAACCTAGAACTAACAAAGCTTAAATTATTGCCTATAAAAACAACATTAAACATTAAATCAGTTTCATTCATTTCTTATGGCTCTATCTGCAGAGTCATTTCTTATGATTACATTTTTTCACAGGCCAACAACAGCTTCAAAAAAACAATTTCCCTCAAAGAAAAAACCAAACATGCCCTGTTGTCTCAAGAGAAAAAGTGCAGAAGGAAACATCCATTGAAACTCAGTTTGCTGCTCTGTGATGCTAGTTCAAGCCAGATACTTGGCATCTCATCTTGGGTGCAAGTTCATCAATGTTTGGGCTCTGGATTGAGTGAAGGTGTGGTGCAATATACCGGCGGGCCAGATCTAGTAGTTATTAGGAATTATCCTGCGGGCCGAAATTAAATCCACCAAGGGCCTGATTTGGCCCCCGGGCCTTGAGTTTGACACATGTGCTTTAAAACCATGCACAATAAATGTTAGTCTGTAACTGAGGACTCAAACCCCGTTACATATTAGTTATTAGAGTACATTTCTTCTATACACGACTTGGTGGCTTGGAGTCCAATGATTTCAGTTTCATTAATTTGTATAATACAAATGATAGGATAGCACACCTAGAGAGGCAACTCAAAGGCAACGGCTGAGCTATAAGAGTTTGCCATCCATTTTTCTGGCTTTTCTGGCTTGTTTACTTATTACTACTTACTTCTACAATAAGCACATTCAATGCATTAACTTATCTCTCTACTATTGTGTTTTATTTTTTATTATAAGTTATGTTTTGATTTAGCCACATTGCTGTTTACTCATCATTTAAGAGTTTATATCCTGAGATATGGAATCAGGTATTCGTATAAGTGCTGGTTCATTTACACTTTCTGAGAAAACAATCCAGAATATCGAACCATACCCTTCACCTTTACTGAGTCCCCACCAGATGGCAGTCATTGTCTCCTGACAGAGTCCCTCAGAGTTTACACAGCAGAGGCCCCTGTGGTTGACTTAGGTCCAGCTCAGTGTGTGTGTCAGTGTGGTGTGTGTCCAGCATTAACGTGAGGAGGTTAGTCTCACTGATCTTGATCCCAGGATAATGTGTGTCTCACAGTGTGCAGCTGTGTGTGAGGGTCACCCGGTTCACAGCACAGCAGTCACACACACAGTCACAGGCATGTGTCCACCGGTGTCAACGTTTTAACAGCCTTGACAGTAATAGTGTTTCCTAAACTATTTACTTACAAACATACATATTTTTTAAAGTATATATTTTTGTATCTCCATACCTCTTTGTTTGTTTGACTCCCTGTGTCCAAGAAATCTCTCGACTTTAAGTGTAGAGGAAGGGTACTAGCATAATTTACAATTAAACACAAGTTAAAATACATTTATTTTAACCCATTGAGAATTTATTTAATATGATAATGAAAAATGTAATGGGTCTGAATTGACCCTGAATAAGGTCTTGAAATCTGGCTCAGACTAATATCTAAGAGAAGACATTTTTAGATAACATGAAGAACTACACTTTTATCAATAGACAAAGACAGGATTTATGGAACATTTAGAAAAAACAACAACATGTAGTTTCTTAAATGTCTTTTATATGATTTCTTTACACTCTATATATATTATTTCTTTGATTTTATCTTTATAAATTATATATAAATACCAGAAATCCTTATTGTGTCGCTTGTTAGATAAAGTATTTTTCTTATAATACTATTTTACATATTTGGTTATATAAGATATAACAAAAATACATTAAAATATAAAGACATGTATGGAAAAAACAGTAGTCCCATGTACAAAAAGACTAAATATAATGTCATGAGAAAAATCCTTTTCAGCCAAACAATTTGAAAGACAATTGAACATTTCTTTAGATTTTTAATAACATTCAAATCATAAAATTCAACATCTCAACTGTAAGCAAAACATTTGTTCATTCTAATAATAAAAGCACCTCCAACCATAATTTTCTACCAATATATTTTGTAACTGTAGCCAGATTCACTGTATGATTTCCTCCATATTCAGAATGCTGGCATATACTGACTAAGTCTATGATACAGCTGTACATCTGTTTAGAAAACTGGTTAAAAAAAAATCCTTACAGCCAGGCTCGAGGCTCCAACAATGGCCCAATCTTCATGAAAACCCCCCTTTAGTTTAGTTCGGTTTACTCTACACAAATTCATAATGCCATCAGCCCATGTGTATACAAGCTTTTAATAACATACAGACCTATTGAGTCCTCCTCACAGGTGAATGAGAGGCTGAATAAATATCTGCGGCGGCCCCTCGAGGCTGGGCGTATCGCACAGGGCTTTTGTTGCATTTGTTGTCATTAGACCTAAACTGAAGGGCAGGTGGGTTTTGTGTCGATACACAACTGCTCATACACGCTCAATGATGCTCATCCTCTGTTTGCACATCCCGTATTGAGCTGTTTTTAAGAGACTCTTTTTGACAACCCAGGTGTTGTGTACCCTCCCCGAGAGTTCTCTAACTCAAGCCTCCTCTCGCTCATACGCTCTCTCCTCTCCCCATGTGATATTCAGCTACGTGGTGAGCTTCTTCACTCCTCTCTGTCATGGCCTGTAAACCTTTATGGCTGTTTAAGAAGAGGGCTCTCCACTCACTCGAGGGTCTGGGTAAATAACTTGAACTTCAGCACTCTGGTATAAGACGTGCAGCGACTGCTTGTCTAGAAGGTTTTTTTATGCATCTCCTCAGGCAATTACGAGGAGACAAGTTTGAATACAGTGGGCAGGCTGTGTATTGTGTGTTTACATTAGCACACACACACTTACTTATGTATGCTACTATCAACCCAGACCTCATGTCACTGGGGGCCCTTTCAGTCCATCGGCTCTTTGTTTCTGCCAGTTTGTACGAACTATGTTTCTTTCTCCGGGGCTCTCCTCCTACTCCACCTCCGTCCCTGCGTTCCTGAGCTAGAACTGAGCCTGGATGGACACACACACGCACACGCACGCGCACGCGCACGCGCACGCGCACGCGCACACACACACACACACACACACACACACACACACACACACACACACGCACACGCACCCCAAAAAGAGTGAAGGGATTTGACACAAGTCTCTCGATCTTTTGTCCTAATGCTATGTCAACTTCCATGCTGAATTGAAATGGTGTGTGTGCAGAGATTCAGACAGAGGTTGAGACAGCTGCTCCACTGAGAAGACCCTCTGTCCAGCCAGGCCACGCCTCGCCTCCCGCACAACTGCACTTTTGTCTTCAGCACTGCTTCCACTATTCTGATGTCACTGGCTTGTGAGAGAGGGCTGATGTGGTAAAACTCGACAGACCTTTTAGCCCGTAGTCAAACAACTGCATGGTGATAGTCACACTGAAGTTTCACAGACATAAAAAACACTAGCTTGGTCTGGTTTGCATCTCATTTGCTTCTCATTTGCATGGCAGTTGATGGTTTTCTCGGGCAACTCCTGAATTTGGCAGCTCATATGCAAATCCTTCTGCCTTGTTCAAACTCCCCTGTCTGGGCTTTGCTCATCGGTGAGCTGGAGAAAGAGATGGTTAGGTCTCATTTCCAGCCTGCCATGCCTCCAGGGTAGTTTGTACAAGATAAGCACTATCAGCCACAGACAAGCAATTCACTCTGCGTATTAGAGACAATAAACAGTCAGACAAGTGTGGTCTATAAGTTGTAAGAACATTACGCTAGCATGGCTCTTCAACAACACATCGATCATAACAATGAAGGTTGGACAGGAGACTTTTTATCCTTTCAGATTTTGTTTGAAATATCTTATCTTCTGGATTGGGACATGTTTTACGTGGTTTCCAGACAATTTATCCTAATTATTGATTCCCTGAGGTTTCCTAGCACTAACATGTGGTTGAGAGATTTGTGGTACAATTTTTCACACTGCACCTAGCCCAATGCTAAGTGAGCTGTTAGCTTGGGGTCATTAGAACGTTTTTAAACTGTCACATTCAAAAGTGGGCTAACCCTGATTTAGACCCAGAGCTCAATTTGCGGGATTATTCCCATTAAATAAATAAAAGACAGGGCTAAAAGTGGCCAGTATGAGAAAGGACTCAAGTAAAACATTGAATTTGAGCCACATTTTTGGCTAGAGGTGCAGTGTGAAACGTGGGTTTAAGGTAACCCTGGGTTAGCAATGTGTGTGAAAACAGGCTGAATTATCACAGGGTCAACTATTAAAGAATATGCAGAGTGAAAATCCAGGAA